TATTCTATGGATTTTTGGATGGTGTATGCAAGGCTAGAAGTACATCCTTGGAAGCCAAAATGTAAGATAATTCTTTAAGGCTTTATTTTCTCTATTTAAATATAGTTTTACTGGCAGATTTATGCTTTGACCATAATTCTCCCTAAGCCAGCTTTCAGGCAGGCACAAACCACTACTAGCTAGAACTCAAATCTTGCCTTGGTATGGAATCTTGACTATTTTAAGCTCTCTGCTTCCCCATGTGCTTTTTATCAACTTTTATCCATTTTGCAACTATTTGAATTATCTGGTGCAAGATCACAAAATGCATTCCCAGCTGTATTGTACCAGTCAGTAATGGGTGATTGGGTCTTTCCATATCATTTCTCTTTAAGCTTCTGTGTTTGTATTTATACTCTTCAGCCTATTTGGAGTAGTCCCAAATTCCACAGGCTGTTCCACTATGGAGAGGAGGAGTGGGAAAGGGAGAATGAAGGAAGGCGACTGCTGCTCAATGGTGGAGGTGTGTAGCATAATTCTCAATCGGACACTGCTGATGTATTTAAACGTTTGTTTATTGAGCAACTTATCTCTGGTACATTAGGAGGTTGTTAGTGGTGTTACAGAGGAGTAATTGCTGTTTCTGTGATTAAGTGGAAGTGAACACAGGCACATAGTTAAAAAGACATGGTATTTATATGATATTTGTAAGTTGTATAAATAGATTTTTTCCTTGAATGCTAACCAGAGGCACATGAATCATTCATAGTGTTTATGTGACTGAATGAATGCTGATTTCTTAAGCAGAGTTAGCAAAGAAAATTGAAGAATATTGTTGTTTCTACTTTCTGTTTACCAGAACAGCCTGAATTAAAAAAACCCAAAAATATACTCTGCAAGTTACAATAAGTAATATTCTCATCCCCTAAAGACACACACACACACACACACACTCACACACACACAATGGCATATTTAGTCATTCGTTCATTCATGCATTGGATCAATTCATCCATTTATCCAATACTTACTGCAAGCCAACTATGTGCCAGGTCCCACATAGTTGGAGCTGAGGATATAATGTTGAGCAAAAATAGATCCAGGATATGTTCTCAGAGAGTTTACAAAATCTAGGGTAGAGAATGTAATGAATAAAGAATTACACGAATGGTTATATAACTGTCAACCAAGTCAGGTGCTCTGAGGGCAAAGAGTAGGTTCTATGAGAATGTAGAAGACAAAAACAATCTAACCTGGGAGGGCCATCATAGGCTTTCCTACAAGAGTGGTGCTGAATTGAGATCTGAAGGATGAGAAAGGGTTAACTGGGTGGAAGAGGTTGGGTGACTGATGAACATGAAGGGTTGGTGAGTGTGTATGTGTGGGTATGTGTATGTGGTATGTGTTGTCCAGCCCTGGTTATCGTATTTATAAAGGCTCTGAGATGGGAGGGAAGACAAAGTGTCAAGGAATTAGAAAAATGATAGGTAGCAGGACCACAGAGAAAAGTGAAGCGATTAAGATTAAAAATTCCTAAAAGAAGGTTCAGAACATTCAGGGCATTGGCAGCCATGACAAGAAATACATGCAGCAGGACAGCTTTGAAGAAATCAAAGCCTGATTCAATATACTCCCCTTCTCTCATCCTTAGTACACATTATGCAAAAAGTAAAAATAAACCTTATGTCTAAAAGTCATAGGGAACTGTGTTATATTTTAAATATCAGGGTATTAAAATTTTCAGTATTTTTATTCAAGGTCCTATATTCAATGATGGCAAAACAGATCCCAAGGAGATTTTTAAAAAATGAGTCTTTCATTTATTTTTGTGACCTATTAGTCACAAGCTTCCTTCACTGAGCTCTTTATGAGTGAAACACTAAAGTGTATATGACCTCCCTGTAGACATCAGGAAGAGAGTATAAAATTCCCAGCTAGACTCATCAGGCTGCTCCAGCTTAGTGTCTGGGGCATTTGTTGTACTTTCAGAATTACTAGAATCTCACACCCATGGAAGAAAATGGCAGAGTCAATAGAAACTACACATGTACACTGACTGAGGACAGTAGGAATTCATGTGGGTATTTCTGGATGTCTGGAACATCTTTGGTGTAAGAAAGTTGCATGCTCACCTTATTATTTGACTTACAGAATTTTAATGAGTAAGATGTGTTTTATGTGGCTTCTGCCTTGCAGATAGATGCATTTGGCCTCAGAAGACACCACTGCCTCTCAATTGTTTTCACAAGAGTTGCCCACCATCTACAGATGCACCCACCTAAGAGAACTCAATAAACTATAGTCAAATGAGGATCCCTGGTGTGATTGAGACCATATGCTATTTATTTAGTCATCACAGCTTTTTAATTTAAAAGTGTTGACAGTGAAATGCATCCACCAGTCACCATGGCAGGGATTCAATAGTCCACTGTGCTGCACAAAGGCATGACTTGGATCTAGAGAGTGAAGAGTTTCTAAAACTTGTAAATGAACCCTCCGTGACCTCAGCTAAAATATTCACATCACAAAAATGGAAATTCCAAATAAAACCCATCACAATACAAGCTCAGGAGGGCTAGCTAGCCAACATGTTCTGAACAAGGAAGTGGATGGTTAAAGGACCTTCATACACATGTGTGAAAATAGTCTCCTCTCCTGTAGCTTTTGAAATCAGGGCTATAAAATGACAGGTTTTAGGATAATAGGAAGAAAGGAATTTTATTTGTAATTTTAAAACAATGGTGTCTGACTATAGCAACTAATCTCAAGAGAATGACTTCTGAGAGTCCAGAATGGAAGAACACTTAAATTTGAAATTGCTCTTTACAAATATTAAAAATATTCTGTAATACAGAAAAGTAACTTTAACCCATTCAGTGAGTCAACTGATACTTGAAAAATATTTGTGTGCTTAGCTCTGTGCTAGGAGCAATAGTGTGTGTGTGTGTGTGTGTGTGTGCGCGCGCACACGTGTGTGCATGCATTACGGAGTGGCAGTGGGTGTGTTAATTCAGGTGCAAGATAAGCTTTTTTTCTGACTAGTTTTAAAATTTTATTTATTTATTTATTATTTTTTTGGTACCGGGGATCAAACTCAGGATCTTGCACTTGCGAGGCAGGTGGTGGAACCACTGAGCTAAATCCCCGGCCCTAAAATTTATTTTTATAAGAAAAATTGCCATTGTTTTAACTCAGTTCATATTTGTAATACAGAATAGTGATATTTGTTTTGGAGATTTGGTACATGAATATATCTGATCATTTTCTATCCTTCCACCCCTTGTCTCTTTCCTCTTCCCTCTCCTGATCCTTTTCCCCACCTTTAAGTATCTACCTTCTAGTTTCCTATCATCTCTCCATTACTTTATTCATTCATTTATTTATATTAGGTTTCTCATGTAAGAGAAAACATGTGATATTTAACTTTCTGAGTCTGGCTTAGCATAATAGTTGTAAGTTCCAACCATTTTCCTGCGAGTGACATTACTTTATTCTTTAGGACTAAATAATATTCCATTGCATTTATATATAATATTCTCTTTATCAATTTATCTGTTGATGGAGATCTAGGTTGTTTCCAGAGTTTAGCTATTGTGAATTGCACTGCTATAAACATGAGTATGCATGTATTGCTATACTATGATAGTGTTAGTTCTTTTGGGAATATCGTCAGGGGAAGTAGAGCTAGGTCAAATGGAATTTTTATTTTTAGTTTTTTTAGGAATCTCCATACTGATTTCTGCAGTGGTGTTTCTAACTTACATTCCCACCAACAATGTAAAAGTGTTCCTTTCTCCCCCTGCGTCTTTAAAATCATTCACTGTTTTATTTGTTCTTTATGATAGTCATTCTGACTAGGTTAAGATGAGATCTCAAAGTTATTTTGATTTGCATTTTCCTAATGGATAAATATGTGGAATATTTTTTTCATGTATTTATTGGCCACTTGTACTTATTATTATTTTTTTTCACTTGTACTTATTTTGAGAAGTGTCTAGTCAGTTTAGCCGTTTTTGATTGAGCCATTTATTTTGGGGGGTTAATTTTTGAGTTCTTTATATATTCTTAGTATTAGTCTTTTATCATAAGAGTGGCTAGCCAATTTTTTTCACATTCTGTAAGTTGTCTTTTCACTTGTTGATTGTTTCCTTTGCCATACAGAAGTTTTAAAATTTGATGCAATCTCATTTGTTGATTCTTGGTGTTATTTCCTATGCTATTGTAGTTCTGTTCAGGAAGTCTGTATACCTATGGCTTCAAATGTTTTTCATATCTTATCCTCCAGCAATTTCAAACTTGCTGTTTGTATATCTATGTCTTTGAACCATTTCGATTTGATTTTAGTGCAGGGTGAGAGATAGAGATCTAGTTTCAATCTTCTGCAAGTGGATATCCAGTTTTTCCAGCACCATTTGTTAAAAAGGCTGTCTTTCTTCAGCATATGTTTTCAGATGGCTAAAGGTACATGGAGTTGCTTTTGTGTCTTCTGTTCTATGCCATTTGTCTACATGTCTGTTTTTGTGCCAGTACTATGTTGTTTTCATTCCTATACCTTTGTAGTATAACTTGAAATCCAGTATTTGTGGTATCATTAGCTTTGCTTTTTTTGCTCAGAATTGTTTTGGTTATTGTGGGCCTTTTCTGATTCCATGTGAATTTTAGGAATTTTTCCCCAGTTCGGTGAAGAATGTTGGTATTTTAATAGGGCTTGCATTAAATCTACAGATTGCTTTTATGGCCATTTTAACAATATTAATTCTGCTGATCCAAGAACAAGGAATGTCTTTCTATTTTCTAATGTTGTCTTCAATTTCTTTCTTCAGAGTTTTGTACTTTTCATTATAGAGGTTTTTCACCTTCATGCTTAGGTTGATTCTGAGGTATTTAGCTTTTTGCAAGCTATCGTGAATGGAATTGTTTTTCTGATTTCTTTCTTGTTGTTCATTAATGGTACATAGGAATGCTATTGATTTTTGTGTGTTGATTTTGTATCCTGAAGTTATTCTTCTTCTTTTTGACAGAATGGATGAAGCTAACTGCTGTGGTGTCATGGAAACCTAATAGAAATATCAGGAAGTGAAAGGAAGTGTTGAAGAAAGCATCATAGAAAGCCTGCTACCAACTGAGTTCCAGAGATACTAGAAACAGCCTTTTCTACTTTCCTGTTTTTAGAGAGAGAATCTTCCTATTCATGCTTGGAAGACTGCAGCTATTCTATACTGATAACTAAGAAACAACTTGGAGATAGTCACTTGCTCCAGTTGAATTGAATTGTCCAGTTTGGATGGCTGAGGAAATGAAGCTCACCTTTAAAAATGTATGTTTGCAATACATATTAAATACATGCATCATGGGGAATTGGTGCAATATATATATATTGCATCTCAATAGTTTTATTCTCCTCCCCCTCCTCTACCTCCCATCTCCCCCATTCCCAGAACCCCTTTCCATCTCCACAAAGTCTATCTCCCGGTCCAACCTCCACATCAAGTCTCACCAGCTTTATGTTATAAACATACCCTGAATCCACTTCTTATCACCTCTGTGTCTAAGCTACAGTCTTTATCATCCTCCCAGACAAAGACCTCTCTTACATGCTTTTATACACTTATCTTACTTCATTTGTGTGATTTCTTTGTTTGTTCTTTTATTAGTTTCTTTACTTATTTATTCAGGCTCTACCTTGGGCCAGGCTGTTCCAGCCAATAAGTGACACAACAATGACAAAATAAGGTCCCTGCTCCCATGAAGCTGACATTTGAACACGCACAAACAGGTATCAGTGAATAAAGTACAAGAATAGCACCTACTGTCTAGTTGGGATGACAGACACTCAATCCAATAGCCCTGCAGTGCACAGCATGAGCTTTAAACACAAATCGGACCTGGTCAGTCTCTGCTGAAAACATTTCAATGGCTTCCTGTTGCCCTTAGAATAAAATACAAGTTATAAACATGACCTAACCATGTTGAACCATAGAAGATATTTTGGCATGAAAATATCATTAGTGAACAAATAAGGTATCAGTTCTACTTTTTGAAAAGCAAACGAATTCTCCCCAGGATGGGTGCCTTCCCCAATCCCTTTATTTTCAACATGTTCTCTAGAGGAGCTGGGGATGCATTTTCTTTTGTACTAACATTTTTTATTTTCATTTTTTAAAAGGTTGGTTTCCTTTTGATTATCAGACCTTTTCCTGGAAAATTGCTAATTGTCAAATAATTTGACCTCTCTGAGCCTCAATTTTCTCATCTGTAAAGTGAGGATGTCATACTTTATCACATGTGTTTGCTTTGGAGATTAAAAGACCTAAAATGCACAATTCCTGCCACAAAACGAATGTTTAATTAGTTGTTCTTCCCTATGAACAAATGAAATAGCACTCATTTTTTATTGCTATAAACAAACTTCTTCATATGGGAAGGAAAGACTGTCACTGAAGTAGGAACAACTTAATTATTTACTGCATAGCAGGGTAATGGTTGTGGCCAGGAGGATGCTGCAGCCCGGATTGCTGGTAGCCTGTCACAGTGACAGCCCACACTGAGGCTTGCTCCAAAGCAGGTATTTTTGTGCAGTTAGCCTTCCCTTCTCTGGGCCAGTGATTATGCAACGTATTTGTTCCCTGAGCAGACATTGTTCTGCAGCCAGCATGGTCACTAAAAATCCTACCCACTTTAGAGCCTTCCTATTGGTAAATACCAGGCATTGTCACTGAGAATGCTTCTGGCTGTGCAGAGTTTCTGAATAGCTGCTGAGGTAATAATTCATCTCTGTCTTACGTGGTCTTCTCAATGTAGAGATGTCTCCATCCGACCCCACCCTTTATGTCCTCCAGCTGCCTCACTGCTGCAAACCCCCTTTTGTCACTTTATTGACTTCTGATAATAATTGTAAAACAGAAACAGGAGAGAGAGATTAAGAGACATAGAAAAGAGGTAGGGGAGGAGAGAATTTCTAGCAAGAATAAATAATATAATACAGATCATTAGCTATTGTACCTTCTCCCTACGTCCCAATAACAGTATAACTGTGTTTGAAGTTGGGTATGGCCTTCTGAATCTTTTGTATATTCCCCTAGACATATTAAATGGTTTAGAGCAAAGGCCATGGGATACGACTTCCATGCTTAAATCTTAGCTCTCATTTAGTAGCTATGGAGCTGAAGGGAATTCATTTTTGGCTTCTCTGTCTCAGTTTCCTCACCTATAAAATAATGGAAATCTTCCCGGAGTACTGTACAGTATTGTGAGGATTAATGAGTGAGCTAATAAATGACTGATAAAACATGAATGAGGGGAGAGGGGAGGGGAAGGAGGGTAAACAGGTTAAAGATATATCATGTACATGTACCAAATAACCACAATGAATGTAAACATGTCATAAACATGAACTAAAAAAAAGATAATAATGATGAAAATGGGGAAAGGGGATCTAGAGAGGAAGAGATGTGGGTGAGGAAGGCAAGGGTAATAAAAAAATCAAGATGTGTTATGTACATGTACCTACTCCCTAAGATGAATGAAACTTCATGTATTGTAAATGCACTAATAAAATAAAATTTTAAAAAACCACAAACAAGGAGGCGGATGATGAGACCATGCCATTGTATAAATGCAAAGGAACTTGATGGAAAATTTCTGGCTAAGAGCAGTCTTTGGATCTCAGTGATTTTTCTAAACATATTGGCAAGATTTGCAGTAGGCACCTAAGGGCTTCTTGGAGGGAACAGCAGAAACTGGCAGCATGATTTTGCTATCAGTGGAAGGATGGAGTCTAAAGATTCAGCCAGGTCAGTAACATCCAGCGGAGGCCCTGCCTCCCGTGGGTGTTGTGGTCCCTCCTCTTGCTGCTGAAACACTATACTCATCCTGCTGAAGGAGCTGGAGGCTCCATTGCTGAGTAGGGCTCCTACTGCTCCACATGTGTAGAAAGAGCCTCCTATCTTCTGTAACCTTGCTGCCTCCTACATTCTCGGGTTTGCTTACAGTCTGGAAGAAATAGCAGGAACCACTCACCATGAGATTTCTGAGAAGTCTCCACAGAATGTCTATGCCAAAATGCCCCACTTTGCCTTACAACTGAGACCAGTAAACGATTGCAGCTGATTACCAGCTCAGTGGAAGGCAGTGATCTGAATGAACTAAAGGTTAGTATTTCCAGTCATGGAAATACTAGAAGAAAGCAGTCTCGAGGGGGCTTGGAGAGGAGGTGTGAAGGGATGTGGGCCGCACACCCATGGCTGAACGGGCTGAGGACCTGTTTCAGGCGGGTTCCACACGGGGTGGCTTCACACACGCTGCTCACCACAAGGCCTGTTTTCCACCCTCGCCGAATGCCATTACATCACTCTTTGCCAGTTACAGGAAATCCAGTGAGTGCTGGCGACAGGATCTCCCTGAGATCCAATTCAAACAAATCCGCCCCTCAATCTTGGAGGCTGACGAAGTGTGAAAAGAAAAGGCAGTTCACAACATCCTTCTGTTGGGCCTGAGAGGCTGAGGGTGAATCGGTTGGGCTGATGGATGGACAGAGGACAGAGGACAGCTGAGTGCTATCATATGAGCGGGTATCAGAGACAACCCCTCCATCATTTTCTTTCTTTTGTAAGAGACATTGTTTGAATTCCATTATTTCCATTGGACAGACTACAAGGCCTGAAGTCTCAGTTTGGTTACTTACTAGCTGTTTGAGCTTACACCAGTCCCTTGAACTTGCTAAGCCTCAGATCCTTCATCTGTAAATGGGATCACAATAGCACCAGTTTTCACAGAACATAAGAGAATTGAATGAGAACATTCATGTGAAGTGCTTAGTACACTGTTGGATCCATATTTCACACTCAGTAAATGTCCTATCTTATTATTACCACCAAGGAAGATGGTTATCCATTTTATTCGGGTATTTCACTGCATCTCTCCCTCAAACACAGACTTTTTAAAATATAAAGCTCTTTTTAAGGTAGAAAAATCCCCACTACAAGGGACAGACCCTTCAGTGAATAGCTTGATGAATGTATAGGTGAATGTACCCATGTACCCCTAACCCCACCAAGATATGTAGCACTGACAGCTACAGAAACACCCAGAGCCTTTCCCATCCACTATTCCCACTCTTCTTACTTCTTTCAGTGTATATTACTTTTAAAAAATATAATCATTGTCTTAACCACCACCCAACAATATAGAACACTTCAGGCAACCCAGATAGATTTTTACCCCACCCAAAGAAAGCTGGTCTTTTGACTTATTATAGTAAATTTTGATTTTTGAATTTCAAAGTATGTGCACTTTTCTGTGTGCTTTTTTTTTTTTTTTTTTTTTACTCAGTCATATGCTTCTGAGATTTATCCATGTTTCCAGGTGGAGCAGACACTCATTTCTTCTCATTGCTGTATAGTATTGCTTTGGATGACTATTCTGTAATATATTTTATGAGTATTAGGGTTGTTCCCAGTCTTTTGCCACTGTAAGTAATGCTGCTGTGAACACTCTTTTGTGTGTCTTTTATGTAACATACATTTCTATTTTTAAGATATGAGTAAAATTGGCTACATCATAGGGTTCATATATATTTAGTTTTTAATAGATAATACCAAATGTTTCCATTCTTACCAATAATAGTGATTATAAGTTCTTTGAAAAAATTTAGTTTGGTGGGTAAGTAGTGTTAGCCCATTGTAGTTTTAATTTGCATTTCCCTGGTGAGTAAGATTTTGCACTCTTAGACTGGTCATTTTCATATCTCTCATGATGTTCCTGCTTGACTTTTTGCTAAATTTTCTATTGGAAAAACTGCTCTTTTCTTATTGATTTAAATGAAATATATTAAATATATTCTGGATATCTATCCTGTGTTAGGTATAAGTATGCAAATATCTTGTCCTCTCCAGTTTGTCCTTTCATTTTCTTAACAGTATTTTTGATGAGCAGTCTTTAAGTTTAATATAGTCCAATTTATCAATCTTTTTCTAATGATTGGTGCTTTTCAGGTCCTGTGTAAGAAATCCTTATCCCACTGTGATAAAAGTACTTTTGTGGGTTTTTTTCTAGAAGATTGCTGTTTTTCTTTTCATTTCTTAAGTTAATTTTTGTGAATGGTGTAAGGTAGGGGTTAAGATTACTTTTCCCCCTTTCTGCGGGAATCCAGCTAACTCTGCACCGTTTGTTGTCAAGCCCATCTATTCCCTCACAGGTATTAATCTGGTCACCATCAATCTATTTCTTCCCTGACTTTTAATCCACTGGTTTATAACTGTATTCTCTTAATTACTGTAAATTTAAAATAAATCTTAGGATTTGCTAACGTAAGCCTTCT